GAATATTGATTGTTTTTTCTGAAAATGATGTGCTAAAGGCTGAGGATGAGTGTGTGAGTGGGACTGAATCAGTGATTAGATTTGGATTTTCTCTGATAGAAAATGATCCAGCAGTCTGTTGTTAGTATTCATCCGTCATGGGGAAACGGTTCCCCCATTATTGATTCAAACTGAGACATTATCACCTACACAACATGGCCCTCATGTCACACAGGAAGTTCATACAAAAGCACAGTGAGCAGAAAATTATTCTGAAACAATGGTGAAAAGCATAACCTACAGTAATATTACTCTGTCCCACGCCTACACACGCATTCAATATTCAAATAGACTCTGAACAAATAGATTTGTGAGTCAGAACAGCGGGACTGCTAAAGAACGCCTATTAAAATGCATGGTAAGTTAGAACAGGGATAAATAGGAAGAATTGTTGCACCCACCCATAAAACATTAAAGGTTTTAAAACATCATGTATACAGACAACAAATCACTCCTTACTAAATTATTAATTAGTAGCTAACCTTATGTTTAAAAGAGACAAATGATACAGCACCTCATTTTATGTGGTTTGTTTAGAAAAGGCATTGGTCAGACTCATATTTATTAAGGTGAATCTCATATACTGTATATATAATATGTGATATGATGTGTGTGTGTGTTGGAAAATGCATATTTGAAAATTAAATATATAAAATACATATTATTTTGTTAATGAATTTGTAACAATTAAATTAACTGATTTTGCATGACTTGTGCTGTAGCTCATTGTCACTACAAATAAGTATTATGAATATTAATGAAATAAAAAATACATTAAAATTAAATAAAAAAATGTTGCCATTTTTTTCCTTAAAAATATTGAGAGAAGATTAAATGTACTCAAATATTGTCACAACAAAATATTCAAAAAGTCCTGACTTTTATTTTGTTTAAGCAAAATATGCAGATTTTCATTCGTTTTTAGAGTAAAATTTGGAACCTATTAGTACCTAGGTGTTTTTGTAACTACCCATAATACCCTAGCAACCAAACATTAACACCCTAGCAATCACACACATTGCCCTACCGTGATAGCTGTGGGATAAATCACCGCTCAAATTCTACAGAAAATGTACAAATCACAACTTGGTTTAACTTAAAAAAGTAAGTAACATGGTTGCCTTAAATTTTTAAGTTGACTGAACTGGAAAAAGTGAGTTAATACAATGAAGGAGTTCGATTTAATCATCAGAAACTCAAAATAATAAGTTATCTCAACTAAATAAATTATTTAAGTTGATTTGACAAAAGAAAAAACGTTATATAAAATATACGAAGTTCAGAGATCGATTTGAAATCATCAGAAACTCAATATATTTAAGTTCAGTAATTTCACTTAAATGACAATTAATAGGTAATCTCCATTGCCATTTAAGTGAAATTACTGAACTTAAATATACAAGCTTGATAAAAATGATCATTTTAGAAGAAAATTTCAAATGGCACTTAGAGGCTTTTGCATCTGAACTCTTCATACATTTTTTTTTTTTTACAGTGTAGATAATCTTAAAAAAAGAAGAACCAAATAAGAACTGAATGTTTTTGTTTTTTTTTTCCTGCAGGAATAGAAACTTTATCTAAAATCATTACTTGAACAGCACTATTTCCAAAGCCCCAGGATTGCAATACACCATATAAAGAATAATGTTCCTACAACAGAGTTTCAAAACTACATTATTACATACTGAACTCCACACCTTTCTCAATAGACTGACTTTGGAAACATTGTATATCCCACAGAGAGAATTTTGATTTAAGTCACAGTGAATTATAGCGAAGCCCAGGTTATTCTGATCACCGCATGTATGTATGATTCCAATCTGATTTCCTTTGAGAGTTGGACAACCCTGAACCAGAGGAATCCTGTAGCTCTGTCACACTGCGGCTCTTTCCGCCCACGCTCCGCCATCTACTGCAAGCCTCCAAAACAAGTGTGACAAACCTCTTACTTACAGACACAAACTCAGCCTCGCTTTCTCACACCTCTAACTCTACGCCCTGCCAAGACGATCAAGTTTCTCTCCGAGTTTCTGCGAGCGAGCACCACCCCCGGCCTCAATACAAACAGACGACTGCGCTCATCTCCACCCTCGCCTCTAACCCTGGCTCCTCCGCGCGCCATTCACCCAGCCAGGATACAGCGGATTTCAACTCTGTTTTACAGACCATCTCAAAGAAGTCTGCATAGAAGAGGTAGAAACTGAGAAAAAAAAAAAAAATGTGGAAAGCAAAGCACTGGGGCTGCAAATCCATTCCTGTCTTTGCATTGCACTTCCCTTAGGACTACCATCAACCATTACAAAACTGGGACAGGACGAGAGCGAGAGAGCTTATTGACGGACACTCAATTCTTGTGACGCAGCTAAAGATCATCTGACAGTGTCACACTAGAAACCAAAACCAACACTATTAAATTTTCATTAACAGAAGCCCACGTTACAAGCTCTGAATGAATTTTTAATAGCTTACCGTGGCTTAATCTGTTGTCTTTTTATCAACAAAGATTTTGATTTATGCGACAGTCTGCTATGCGGTAAAAAGGCACCGATAAAATGTTTACATCGTCCTTGACAGTAACATCCTTGAGTTATCCTTGTGTCCGTTCACGCCGTTTTAAGGTAGTTAATTACACAAAAGATATGCTGCTGAAAACCAATAAACGCCGTTCTTATCTATCAGAAGCGTAAATGCAATTAAGAATCAAAGGTTTCAATTAAAAGTATTAAATGTAGAGGTGTGAATTTCAAATCCAATTATAAAGCATGAGCTAGGGGTCCAAAAATTAAATCTCATCAATGCATTTCCCCCCACGAGAAAGCACAAAGCACAAATTTTCCGAAACAGCATGTGGGAATCCTAAATGGAAATGAAATTTGTTCACAAAAAGACGCATCATTGACAATTATTTCTCAGTACACACAATTCGAGTAAAAGGACTGATCTAACGGCACATAAACCATGATGAATCAAGACAGGACTCAAGTGTGATATTCGTAGCAGAGGAGAAGGGCTTTTACATCATTTACCCAGAAATTCTCAATCTGAGCAAAATCCTCACTCACGCCTCTCAAAAGCCACTCCATCTAACGTAGCAATTTTACTAAAAAATGCCTCCATTATTTTTGCAGGCAGAAGAGACAACTGTTGCTGTTAAAACAATCCCAGTGGCGATGATGGTGGGTCTTAAAACACGGCATGCTGGAAACATAGCTTTAACTGCAAACATTAGAGATGACACAATGGCAGCATGTTTACAACATTTTCTAAACATTGATATAAAACCCAGAGTGAGATGCTATCTGTGCCCTCACTGGCCTTCACCCACTTAGATGTGTGCAAATGGACTGAATTTCATTTGAATGTATAGGTGTTGGATTTGCTCTGGTTTGGCCTGTAGATTAACATTGATGGAAATGAGTACCCAAGCCAGCAAGTGACTGAAAATCAATGAAATTTAAATAATGTCAGTCATTGGGTTCAATGTTCAAAAAATTGGCTGTCAAATCAACACTGAAATTTAAAGTAGTAGAAATTTAGAGTAGTTCACTTAAAAAAAAAAAAAAAAAAAACATTGCTGATAGTTTACTCACCCCCATGTTTATGGTCCAAAAGACAGTATCAGTGCAAACTGCTCAAAGGGCTTTAAATGATTCCAGACGATGAATAAGGGTCTTATCAAGTGAAATGATCGCTTATTAAAAAAAAGTTTGAGTTTTATAAGCTCAAATGGTCGCCTTGCTCTGTTCTGTGATGCGCGTTTGTGACTCTCCTGTTCGAATGAAATGAACGAATTGACTCGGAAAAAGATCCGTTCATTTCGATGAACGAGTTCGAACAGAAGAGTCACGAACCTGCATCACAGAACAGAGCAAGGTGACCATTTGAGCTTACAAAACTTAAACGTTGTTATTTTCTTTTTAAATAAGCGATTGTTTCGCTTGATAAGACCCTTATTCATCACCTGGAATCGTTTAAAGCCCTTTGAACAGTTTGCAGTTTGCACTGAAACTGTCTTTTGGACCTTGAACCGTTTGGTTCCCATTGAAATCTTGGTATGTTTTCATCAAAAACCTTAATTTCTTTTCGACTACAGAAAGAAAGACATGGACCTCTTGGATGACATGGGGGTGAATAAATTATCAGCATTAACAAGATATGAAAACAATTGCGTTGATTTGATTTGCAACATTTAAAACATAATTCAACAGTGATTCAATCAATGAAATGCCTGATGGATCACCTTAAAAATGGATACTCCACCCAAAAAAGAAAATTCTGTCATCATTTACTTACAGTACTCTCAAGTCATTCTAAATATAGTTGGTAGTTTTGGACCGCACTGATTTTCAGTGTATGGACCAGAACACTTCTTCAAAATATATGAAAGAAAGTCAATAAAATGATGACAGGGTTTTTAATTTTGTTTTTTGAACTATCCAGTTAACCACGGTATCCCAAATAGAAAAGTTTTGGAGGGAAATGTATTGTATTTATACATTCATTGATTTTTGCCATGTCAGACCAGCAGAAGATAGGATAATGTTCTCCAGCTGGAACGTTTTATGATTACTCTTGTCGGCAGGGAGGACGTATTAACGGGATACTTTATATAAAGCGAGCTGTCAACAAACCCAATGCTCGGAAGGGGCCAAGGTAGGGTACGTCAAGGTGGGGGAGCTAGAGACATTATCTTGATGAAGCTTTGATCAATACAGCCAGTGTAAGCCAATGAAATCCAGATAGCATCTCTTTTAATTGAGATTAGACTCTGCAAGTTCAAAGTGTGCCCATCTGATTTAAGAGACGGCTCGGTCTCCCCAGTTGACTCTTCATGGTGGGAATCAATTATGGTTTCTTCTCTGACATGCGACCTCAGTGAGTCGAGACCTGGACTGGTGCTGTAGAGAGGGGGGGAGATCTTGGCCTGTTTTCTTTTGGGATTTATGTCGGTGGATACATACCTCCTTTTCTACAAATTTTCTTGCCGGGTTTTCTGGCACATTCCTTGGATATTCTTTTTACTGCAAAATGAATAGAAGACTAAAAAATAACATGGGAGTCCATTATGGACATCAGGTGCATGCAACAGCAAAACTTGACTGAAAGAGGAAGAGAAGAGTTTAAGTTCTCTTACTTAAATCCTCATCATCATCATCATAAGTATGGCAAAATATGCTCCCCTTTTATAGTTTTGAAACATTATAGGCTGTTTACACTAAAGCGTGTGTTTGTCTAATAAGTAAAGGGGGGGTAAAAAGAAAACCAACCACCTAAAATGGACGTGCTGCAGCACACGGAAAAAATTGCATGTGCAGGGGATGGTGGGAAGGTTAGGACACACAAACAGCCTCGCTCACACACACACACACTCACACAATAAGCAGCGGCATGCATCGGACATGCAGAGATCATGCTTCTTTTTTTTTCGCTGCACTCACTACATTCTGCTGAGAGGAAACTGACACAGTGAGATGACAAAGACAGGTTTCTCCGTCCTGCCCGGACATAAACTCACCATCCTCTGTTGGCACGTATATGTTTAAGAATAAGCAGTCCTCGCTCTGGTCCTGTACGTAGGACGACACCACTTCGATACTGTTGGTGAACCAAACTGGCAACATGACGTCCGGTAGCCTGCCCTCCAGCAGGGTTTGGGGACAAACGGGAGCAAACTGAGTAGCGTTACGGATATCTGACCACGAAATAGGGGGCTCAGGAGGTTGGAAGCGCCTTTCACCTGTTGGAGGTGCTGCGTAGGGTACGCCCAGGAACTGGATGACAGGCCCCAGGATCTCATTGTTGAGTTCTTTTTTGAATCCCCGCAGTTTGCCGTAAGTCATAGTGACAACGGGGTCCGTCTCGTCCAGTTTTTGCGAGGCAGTGAGATGGGCGTGCAGGGTTAAGCCTAATATCCAACACAAAAACGACAGGTCCAGACTAGCATTGAGGCCTAGCCGTGGACACATGGCCCTCCAGACGCCACCCAGGCGGTTTGGTCGTTGAAAGGGCATGTTCAATCCTTTTCACACAAGTCCCGCTAACAGCGGCAGCACTGGTTTATATCCACTCGCACACAAGAAACGATCAAACCCAAGATGCCAGATGTTCCAAGAGCGAAGCTGTCAGAAATCTCAAAGCCTCTTTGCATGGCAAGTATTCCCACATGGATTTAAAAACGGATCCAAGCAACATCTTCATCAGAAAGGCAGCTATTCGTCAGGTCCCATCCTATTGACAACGTAGCTTTCCATCCTGGCTACGTGCGGGGCAGGGCTGGGGGAGGCATTTGCGGCAGGTTGTCCACAGATAAATCAAGTCCGATGCAGTGGTTGGTCTATATCCTGCTGGAGAAAAATAAATGAATAAATATTAGTGAGGCAGATGGGAAAACGAAGCTTTATTGACGTCTGTGATCTTGTGCCCTGTTATCAAGCAGAATGTTCTAGAATCACAGCTCACTGGAATGACACAGCATCTATAATACAGACCCAGAGTCAGTCAAGAGGAATCCCGGCCAACAGCAAATCAAATACTTCTCCAATACGCTCACAGGCTGAAGTGGTCATCTAATAAAGCAGTACTTAAGACACAATATTGAAAATCAGTTTGTCGGGGGGAAATCTCACATCTCTCTTTCTCATCTCTCACATCTTTTAGAAAATATTGTAAATTATTGATTCAGAAATAAATGTTACAATCTGAGGTTGCCTTATCATAAAGAGGTCAAACTTTTTCCTGTTATGGGTTTTTTTTTTTACAAATACACACACACACACATCATGTCATTGATGAAGCAAGTAATCAACAAAATGTCCTGTTGTTTGTCATGACAACAAGGCATGATGACATTTGCGTAAACATACACGCCACTTTCGAGTCAAGTGGCGTGTTATCTATACGCATTTTTAGCTATCCGCGTGTACACGCCGCTAAATGTCCGAGCGAAACGAAGAGGAAGCTGGGGAGCGATATTTTTTTTTTTTTCTAGGATGGTAGGGGAAGACTCATAAATGGTATTAACAAGGGATTTAACGATTCAATCGCAACCGGTTGAAAATCGATAAAATGTGTCAGTTCAAGACGTTCATGTCGGTTGAAATGTTAAACGAACCGCTATACACATTTTAAACAGCAGGGCGTGCGCGTGTTAACTGTATAGGTGACTGGTGCTTCTCACAATGGTGATTATTATTAGTCTACAGTCAGAAAGTCAAAATTCCACCACATCTCTGTTTTGAATAAGTCAATATCTACGCTTGCCGTCGCCATGCCTACTGTTTGACGGCACGTGTGCACCATGGCACAAACTGGCGAAGCACACCAAACAAGGGATAGTTCACTTTGAAATTAATGATTTAATGACTTAATGATTTAATGATTTAATGCGCCGGAAGTGATCGCTTGCACGCCTACATCACTCTTTGTTTATACAGAGATTTCGAAAGTTTTACCTTTCACTAAATATATTTAGATATACGGGAAACCGCAATGGAAGACGATTTCGGTATCTAAATACGTTTAGTAAAAGGTAAAACTTGCGAAATCTCCGTGTAAATATTGAGTGACGTCACACGCAAGCGATCACTTCCGGCGTAACATTGAACTGATTCAGTTCGGTTCAGTTGGACATTGCACAACTGATTCAGATCACTTGGACGTCACTGTGATTACACGAGATAAAAACGATATAAATACTGTTCGTTTTCTCACAAAAAAAAAAACGCTTGTTTCATGTCTTAGGCCATCAATGTGTACTTACATTTATGAGTCATTAAATCATGTTTAGTTTTGACTTCTCTGTGCATGCTTTTTGGTGGACCCCCTTAGCCTCCAGTGTATTACTGATAGACAACAACAGTTTGACTGAAAAATGTCAAAATTGAAAATACTGTGGAAACAAAGACACCTACATCTTGGATGCCCTTGAGGTAAGCTAAAACATATCAAAAATTAATTTCAATGTGAACTATCCCTTTAAGTTCATTCCTATGGAAGTTGAGCTTGGCTCAAACAAGACCAATTTGAAGTGAAAACACTGTCTAGCTTCACACCAGTGTGCTCGCTGCCATTTTGCCTGTAAAGCGAGGTTCACAACTTTTAAAACGTGTATCGCGATTCATTTAACATTTCAACCGACTTGAACCGTGACACATTTTTATCGATTTTCAATCGGTTGCGATCATGGTTGCGACTGAATCGTTACATACCTAGTATTAATCCCAGTGACAGGTAGGTTTAGGGACGGGGTTGGGGTAGGTCATACATTCATACAGTAATGTAACATTACGTCAACGGCATTTATAAACACGCCGAAAAGCGATTATGCATGTTGATAGCACACCAAAAATGGAAATACGAATTGGCGTGTCATACATACGCCATTTCATGACATCAGTCTGGTCATGATCATCGTTGGATTAGACAATAGCTTTTCATTCTCATAACTGCTAAGATTCAGATATATTACATCAAGAACTCAACAAAGTGTAGTGATAAAATAGGTAAGGAGGAAACAGAATATCAAAGAACAGCACAACAAAACCCTGCACATCCATTTCGTGCATCATCCTCACTTCTGAGACAACCTTGCAAATGTGCAAAAACTATATTTAGATCCCCCAGAACACAAGTCTTAATAAGGAACAGAGGTTCATTTATAACCGTGGGCGAGTCTTCCCCAGTGGACATTGTGACGGGCGGATTCAGAACAGGCTTTCGCTCAGCACAGTAAATGAGAAAAACACCTCTGCTTCCACGGTGCTACAATAGGGTTTATGTTCCACCATAATGGGGCATTTGTCTTGAGTACTACTGTACCACCACACACAGCCTCCTATGCCCACTACCCTCCAACAACCAGATCATTCATGATGACTAGCCATGGAAGAGTCAGCGGATCCGGTCTGAGAGCCACACAGCCAGACAGGGAGCAGACATGGCTGAATGGAATAGCTAGAACTGACCTTTCTTCAACCCGCCATGTAATGGCGTCCACGGACAATGCTAAAAGAGCCTCCGTTCTGTCTGATCACAATATGTGGCCCCGAGGTCTAATCTACTGTAATAAAATGGACCGATTTCAGTAATAACACTGCCATTGTGCATTTTGTTAATGGTGAACCAGAAACTGCCAGCATTTTATTCAATTCAAAAGGTTTTCAAACATTCCACTGTACGGATTGGTCGCCGTAACTAGAAATAGATCATAATGGTCGCCTACTTGTCCAACTAATAGTCAGCTAGTAATGTCTATTTACAACTAATTTATCTTTTAATAAAATGTGGGCCACAATGTATTTTAAGGTGCCCTCGCTACAGTGTAGTTATACAAAGAATTACTCAGTAATATTAATGAAAAATATGTATTTATTACATAATTGAGATTTGGATTAGGGTTAGTTACTTTAAAGTATGCATTATTTGCTGTTATTACTATAGTAAGTACATGTATAACGCACATGCACATAAGCGAGGCATAGACACAAGATTCGTAATATTACCATTTGACAAATGTAAAAAAAAAAAAATCATTTCAAAACTGTCAAATACAATATTGAATGTTTGGTTTCATCCTATATCACATGGTTCTTGCAAGTTGCATTCAAGGTTCAGTCTTGCAGAGAAACATGGCAAAAACAAAGCCCATTCTGCAAAACTGAATGTGTTAACTCAAGTGTTTTATTTATCCATGATTAGTCAATCACACTTTGGCCCAATTGACATTTCTACTCCCCTCACTTCATATTTCAAAACAAATTGCTCCTATTGACGGTAGCCGGTATCAATGACAGGCTTCAAAAAGATGCAAAACAGTCTGTTCCATTGCATAATTACATGAACGGATAAACACAGACACAAGATGAGAAATCCACTGCATTGATTGTGTACTGTATTGTTAATGAGCCTATAAAATCGCCTAGGAGATTTCTACAATAGAGAGAGAGAGAAAGAGACCACTCCAACACCACACTACATGTCTTTCTTCCGTCTGCTATTGGTCCTCCTTGTGCTGGCAACCCGCCAATATATATATACAGTATATATATACAGTATATACACATATAGACAGTATATATATATACATATAGACAGTATATATGAAGAGTTCAGATGCAAAAGCCTCTAAATGCCATTTGAAATTTTCTTCGAAAATGACCATTTTTATCAAGCTTGTATACTTAAGCTCAGTACTTTCGCTTAAATGACAGTTAATAGGTAATCTTCATTGCCATTTAAGTGAAATTACTGAACTTAAATATACAAGCTTGATAAAAATTATCATTTTAGAAGAAAATTTCAAATGGCACTTAGAGGCTTTTGCATCAGAACTCCTCATAAACATATAGACAGTATATACAACTATTAAGTAAAAGACAGAAAGACAAACAGACAGACAGACAGATACAGTAGATAGAAAGAGAGGAGGAGAGAGAGTGTGTGTTTGTAATGAGGTCAGGTTTGTCTCAAAAGATAGAAAGAGGGCCTGGGGAACTGAATTGAAAGATAGACATATGCCTCCTGTGAGACAGTACGTAACAATCTCAGTTGGGGATCTTAATACACTGTTCCCTTGCAGACAAATAAAGAATCCACAGCACAGCCACTGTAAATCTCCATAGAATATACACAGCCTTGAATTTCCGCTTCAACCTGTGCCTTTGCTTGTTCTCATATACAGTAGGTACATCTACTCATGCTACTGAAAGCAAGGACTACACTGATTAATCTTTTGAAATAAATGCCACTTAGTTTGATAGTATTTTATATAAAGCAAAAACATTCTTACATATTTCCCCAGTGTGTGTGATATTTTTGTCTCAATTCTTGGTTGTGTATTCTATTTAAGATTTTTTATTTTTAATGTCTGTTTTGTCATTTCTTTCAGCTTGAAGTGCTTATTTTGTAGCTCCAGCTGTGAGTCGTCCAGTTAAAGACCGAGAGTTCTTAAACCAAGGATCCATGAATCTCAGTTACAGTCGGGCCGGATCTAGGCATGGGCAAATGTCCACTCAATCAGAATTTAAGCACAGATCTTGTTAATCTTTTTTTTTTTTTTTTTTACTTTTTGTACTTTTTTTTTTTTACAATTTGGTCATTGTTTTAAAACAGTCTGAGAATAAGAGAATCTCAGAGTGTGTGTTGAAAAGTTTTAATGTAGGTCTGTGAAATACCCCAACCAATAAAAAAAAAAAAAAATTATATATAACATATAACACTAGGATATATATATATATATATATATATATATATATATATATATATATATATAATAAAACACTACAATGAAGAGTTCAGATGCAAAAGCCTCTAAATGCCATTTGAAATTTTCTTCTAGAATGATAAT